ACGAAAGAAATTACCACCTGAAGTAATAGTTAAATTCAGAATTTCAAAACATCATTATTAAGACTAATCTAGTAAAATAATTTTTTTAATTAAAATTACATCAAACCAACATAAATAATCAAGTAAAATATCATATTATATATATAATTTAAATCCATATAATAGTAAGTTGAAATGATCATTAAATAAGTTAGTGGTTCACAAATCATTTAATCGTGCAACCCTCTAATGCTAATACGTGCACATCACCAAAAAGTGTGACAATTTTTTTCTACTATATATTAAGCTTTGAACAACAAAGCCCAAATCATATCAATTAATCAAAAATAAAAATTCATTAATGGCTTCAAACAAAAATTTGCCAGTATTTTGCATTGTTTTGTCAATTGTAGCAGCAGCTACTATTGCTTCTGCAAATAACAATTATGAAAATAGTTATGGCAATGATGCCCCAAAAACATACAAGAAGGATGTGCATACAAAGGGATTAGTTCCAGAAGCAAATATTATTGCTGTTCAAGGAATGATTTATTGCAAATCTGGATCTAAACACATTCCACTTAAGGGTAAGTGATTGGTCAAATTGCTACGAATTTCGTCGATGATCTATTGATATTTTGCTCGTAGCTAACAGAAATCTGTCGCTAAAAAATAGTTAGTGATGAATTTTATTGTTTTGCTTCAAAAATTATATTTGTCGCTTAATATTGTTTTAAACTCACTCCCTAAAAAAGAAAATATTAATTTCTCATATTTGGATAATTTATTTATGTTTCTCATTAGAAAAGGTTTTGAACTTTATAAATTGAGTTCCTTCCTGATTACTCGGTAACATCCACAATTTAGCTAGCCATTGTTTTGCTAGTTATTTCTCTCCATATTTTATACGATGGATTGCACATTTTTATTTGTAGATGTAGGTTGATTGATTAATCTATGCTAAATTATTATGTTATTTGATATATTTCTCTTTAATTTGTTATCTGACTTATCGTGTTTTAATATTTGCTTTGTTAGCTTTAACATATATAACATACACATGGTTATTTTTAGCAAGGCTGACCATCGGTGACCCCCTAAAGTTGACACGAATTTTCACTTAGATACTTTAACCAAGCTTTGTTCATTTTAGACACCTATTTTGATATATTTCTCTTTAATTCGTTATATGACTTATCGTGTTTCAATATTTGCTTTTTCCTGGTTATACCTAACGCTATTATTTCATCTTGTGATCTTAAATTAAAAATAGGTATAATATACTAAAAATATCGTATGATCTCCTATTATTAAACATGTAACGTGTAACACTGAACTTAAAAAGAGTACTCACCAAATTAGGAAAGATAACATTCCTACAAATTGAAACAAATCAGGAAATAGCAATCTAGAAGATAACACAACATGAAAACATGTTACAATGAATTCCATTACATTAAACTATCAGTACGTATAAGTTAAATCCTTTCATCCTTGTTACATCCTACAGGAGCTGATACAATGAATTCCATTACACTAAACTATCAGTATGTATAAGTTAAATCCTTTCATCCTTGTTACGTTTTACAGGAGCCGTAGCAAGGATAACATGTCTAGGCACGGAAAAACACGGACACGAAACCGCTCCATTCTCCTTCTCAAGTTACCAATCGGACGCAAAAGGTTATTACTACGCAGTATTTTCACTAAATGAGCTCAAAGAATATGATCAATCATGCACAATTACACAATGCAAAGCCTTCTTAGAAAGCTCTTCACTTGAAGAATGTGATGTACCTACTGATGAAAATAATGGTATAACTGGAGCTATTCTTACTTCTTATCGATTACTCAATGAATATGCTGAGAAGAAAACAGTGTTGTACTCCGTTGCACCTTTTGTTTACACTTCCGAAGATGATGGTGATGATGATGCTGATTATACTAAATCCAATTACTACAGACGTGAAGGGGGTTATTAGATCATTTTTTTTTATATAAATAATTTATCATCCATGAAATTTGACATTTTTAATTGTTTTATTTGGTTGTAATTTGCAATTTTTTTGATGATTTATTTGTATGCAAGAAAATGGGAGCATCATTTAATTTGAAGTTTGTGTTTTGACAATGTGTGGATCCTTTTTCCTTTTTTGTTTTGAAATATTATTAAGTGAATATACTTTAAACGAGATTAATATTATCAAAAAAAAAATATTATAAAAGAAGAAAAAATCATATAAAGTTAGAAAATAGTACGCTCGATTCACCAGGCTATACCCAAAACCCAATCATACTCAAATAAAGGATTTGATCTTGACTCAAAAGAAACGTTAACTATATGCTTTAGTGAGACATTGTTTTCGAAGGACTGAGCGGAAATAATTTTTATTGGTGCTAAATGAGTAACTATATTTACCAACAGAAGAAAATGATAAAATAAACTTTTCAACTATAAATATAAAAGTTACAAATTATTGAAGAAAAAAAAAACTTTCGAGTAATGTTTACTTTAGTTTTATCTCGTTTTTATTTTTAATCTAATAAATACATACAGGGGTGTAACTACCTATATACAAAGAGTTCATTCGAACCTCTTTTCGGTGGAAAAAATTATATTATTCATACGTGGTTAAAATAAGTTTATATATATATATAATAGATATCGAACCTCTTTCGGCAATCTATTTCTACGAACCTTTTTTTCGCATCTGAATACATACATACTAATTAAAAGAGGACAAATCCTACACAATTTTTCAATGGACTGGTAACTACGAGTAAAATAATTCCTAATACATTAATGTAAATTATGTTTACTTTAGTTTTGAATCATTAATTTTTTTAAAAAAAACGTATTATTTTAGTGAGTTAATATAAATAACGACCTACTGATTTGGTAAAAAATTCTGATAACCCTAATTATGTGACTATTTATGAAAGTTATCAGCTATTTTTTCTTCATATATTGTCATTAATTAGAGGAAACCAGACTGGCTTACATAATTCAAAGCAAGCATGCATAGTGATGGAGTCAGAATTTTTCAATAAGGGGTTCAAAATTTATAGTTAAAGTAGTCGAAGGGGGTTCAACATCTAATATATACATAAAATATTAGTTTAACCATATATAAATAATATAATTTTCCGTCAAAGGAGGGTCGAATGAACCTCTTGTACCAAAATGGAGCCAGAATTTTCAATAAGAGATTCAAAATCTGTAGATGAATTAGTCGAAGGGGGTTCAACATCTAATATATACATAAAATATTAGTTTAACCATATATAAATAATATAATTTTCCGTCGAAGGAGGGTCGAATGAACCCCTTGTATCAAAATGGAGTCAGAATTTTCAATAAGTGATTCAAAATTTGTAGATGAAGTAGACGAAGGAGGTTCAACATCTAATATATACATAAAATATTAGTTTAACTATATATAAATAATATAATTTTCCGTCAAAAAAGAATCGGATGAACCCCCTGTACCAAGATGGCTCCGCCCTGAGCATGCATGCATGTGATATATTATTTGACGACAGACGTTCAAGTCAACCACTCAAAAATGTTTATCAAATAAGTTTACATAATACAATATGCCAAGTCCATAGGTTTTCAACAAATTAATAAAAAGCATAACATTAATTATAATATTATATGATAAAAACTGATAATTTGAAGATCAACACAATCTAACTGATATTTTTTTAGAGTAAACTAAGTTGTAGCTGTTAATTAATTATGTATTAATTACGCCTTTCTTTGACGTACTGCTCGAATTGAAGAAATTAATAGAAAGATGTTTGGTAAGTGAGAGAATTAATGACGTGTGTGTGACGTGTTTGATAAAAATATGAGATGATTTTTCGAAGGATTTGGCTAACGAAATATGAAAAAATTAAAAAGTATGAAGTTCAAACTTTCAATAATTTAGATATGAAACTCAAAAAAAAAGTATAATTTAAATGCATTTTTAATTTTTATCTTTTTATTTTTTTATAACATCATAATAAATATATTATTGTTATATACTAATACTTTATTTGTATCGGAACTAATTTCCCTTACCAAATTTTATATGTGGATATTTATACGTAGATTATTCTTGTCAATTTTGTTTAGCTTTATCCTTTGGATATCTATGTTAGCCCAACTTGTTCACCAAGTAAATTCAAATCAACAGTAATGCAGTACAGTAGATATTTTCTCTAGGAAAAAGGTCAAAAATGTCATATGTTAAAGGAATAAAAATATTTTTAATTTATAGTTCAATTTAAAAATATTTTTATTATCAATATTTTAATTTACAAATATTCTTATCGTCAATACTTATTTCCGTACTTCATTTTTTTTTTCCGCACAGTTCATTTTTTATAGCGACAATATTATTTAAAAATTTTATGATCATACACTCATGCATTTTCTTCTTAAATTTTTTACGATGAATGTAATTTTAATACAATAAAATAAATAGTTCATAAAAAATATTGCTTCCTCTATTCCTAAATATTCTAATTTTAGAATGAATTTGGAGTTAATTATTTTTGTCCCTTTTTAGTTATTGTCTTGTATTAAAATTTAGTTTATTTTTAAATGTTTGCACATCTATAATTGATATACTTTTAAGTTTATATTTTTCATTTTACTCTTGATTAATATTAAAAAAATTATTTAAGAGATTCATTATTATTATTTTTTTAAAATTGTAAATATAATTTTGATTATGTTTCTAATCATTGATATAATCGAATAGAAAAACCCAAATCAAAAAGAAAAAAATCAAATTTATTCTTATTCAAATCGATTACACTTCTTGAAAATCAAAACTAAAAAAATTCTCACCGACCATCTTAAAAAAAAATCAAACGCATATCATTAATATAATAGTAAACAACTATTATTTAACGATAGAAAAAGTAGGCTACTAGTAGTAGTGTATAGATGTGAGAGAGAATTCAAAGAACCCAAAGTAAAAGGTACCCGACAAGAAATTTCACAACTTGGGAGTTATCACTTATCACCAACCCCCCTCCCTCCACCACTACAAATACCTCCCCATTTCTCCCCACACCAAAACCAAAACTGAAACTAAAACAAAACTTTTCTATACATTTTTCATTTCTGTATCAATCAATATTCTTTGTTTCTGCTGTTTTGAGTAAATCACACTAAGATGTGTGGTGGTGCAATTCTTGCTGATATCATTCCTCCTCGTGACCGCCGTTTGTCATCCACCGACCTATGGCCGACTGATTTCTGGCCAATTTCCACCCAAAATGTTCCTCTCAACCCCAAACGAGCTCGACCCTCTACAGGTACTAGTTAATCATATATAAAGCTTAATTTGTTGATTTTGTTTTTATGCTCATTTAGGCATTTCAACAAACAGGTGGTGAGCAGATGAAGAAGAGGCAAAGGAAGAATCTTTACAGAGGGATAAGACAACGTCCATGGGGTAAATGGGCTGCTGAAATTCGTGACCCGAGAAAAGGGGTTAGGGTTTGGTTAGGTACTTTCAACACTGCTGAAGAAGCTGCAAGAGCTTATGATAGAGAAGCTCGTAAAATCAGGGGTAAGAAAGCTAAAGTTAATTTCCCCAATGAAGATGACGACCATTACTGCTACAGTCATCCAGAGCCCCCTCCCTTGAACATTGCTTGTGATACTACTGTTACTTACAATCAAGAATCAAATAACTGTTACCCCTTTTACTCAATCGAGAACGTTGAACCTGTTATGGAATTTGCAAGTTATAATGGAATTGAAGATGGAGGAGAGGAGATGGTGAAAAATTTGAATAACAGGGTTGTAGAGGAAGAGGAGAAAACAGAGGATGAAGTGCAGATACTTTCTGATGAGCTGATGGCTTATGAGTCATTGATGAAGTTCTATGAAATACCGTATGTTGACGGGCAATCAGTGGCGGCGACGGTGAATCCAGCGGCGGAGACCGCCGTGGGCGGTGGCTCGATGGAGCTTTGGAGTTTTGATGATGTTAGTCGTCTACAACCAAGTTATAATGTAGTTTAATTATTGTTTTGTTTAAACTTTTCATAATTTTATTTTATCGAATTAGGAAGAATTGAGTTTTTATAATTTAATCAATTGTGTAAAACTATGTTTCTAATTCATTAATATTATATTGGATATGTTGTTATTAAAAAATATTTTTTTTTAATTATTTTGTTAGAACTATATTTTATTACATAAGATTCAAATTTGAGAGCCCTTATTAATAAAATAAAGTTTTAGTTTAATTTTGGGAAGAAATACTGATTTTTAAAATAGTTAATAGTGTTAAATTAGTTTTTAGATCTAATTCACAATTAAAAGTCAAAGGCTAGATGTAAAAAAAATACTTTTCAAAGCCTCATAAAGAGTTTATCCAGGACTTTTATTGGTAACTTTTACGAGAAAAAATGACTTTCAAAAGAGAATTAAAATTATTTTATTTTATTAGTAAGAAATACTACTAATTGTTGATTTATTTCCATGTTATATAATTTTTTTTTAATAATTATTACTTTGTGTCCGTCAAAAAGGTGAATGAAGAACAGGCAACGCGGAGTTGCAAAAATTTATTCTACTCATTGAAATTATCAAAAAAATTAAAATTCTAGAACTTTGATTCTCGAAATTTCAGTTGAATCATCGTGCATTATGGTAGTAAGCTAATCAATCGATTTTTAATCATTTGTTGATATTTCCACTAGTAATTTGGTAACAGATAGATGGACCAGTTAACAGTAGTAAATTATTATAATTAATTATTGAGTACTAAATTAGACTCAAAATAATAATATTTTTGAAAAGAGAAAAAAACAATAAACAAGTTAGATGATGCAAAATTGAAATTGTCGTCATTCCTTAGCAAAGTGTGAAAACTTACGGCGCTGCTGGTTTTGTTGTATAAAACGAATGGCGCACCTCGCAATAGAACAGTAATTGCAAGTTGCAACCTGTTGTGCGGTTCGGATTCCCTGTCTACAACCTAACTAATTAAGTACGTAATTTATTCCTAATGATATAATTTTTAATTATAAATATAATGATTATGTTTGATAAGATATTTTTAGATAAATTTAGATAGAGTAATTATTTTAAAAAAATATTAATGTGTGTTTTGAGGAAAAACAAATTATGATCTAGAAATTCAACTAAAATTCATTTTTCAGTTGAAGGATATAGTAGATATGTTGCTCAATCTCATGTACCTCCGATAAATGATTATTAGATTGTCATATAATATTTGAGTAATTCCAAAATAAAAATAAAAATTGTGATTTAATATTTTCTCATGTGATTTACAGTTTGTTTAAACGAAATCATAAATTATAAGAAAAAAAAGGAGATTGTTATTGAGAACTTACAAATCCTATAATGTTAAGAGCTAGTTATATTATATTCTTATTCTTTTTTAAATTACAAAAATTCAAATACATTTCAAAACGTTCCGATACATCGCTTTCTGGTTTTCGATACATCCCTCAAAGTCCCGATATATCATATCTTGGTTTCGAATACTTCATTCAATACCCAGATACATCACATTTCAGTTTCAAGTACATTACTCAACGTCCTGATATCTCATATACGTCTTGATAAATTGGGATAAAACATCCGATCAATACATCTCGTAAAGAGATGTACTCAAGAATAAGTGAGCAAAATTTTTTATAATTTTTTCAAATGAGTAGGAAATTTATGAGGATGTAATCAAATAGATGGTATATTTAGGTAATGTTCCCCATATTTTACTAAGGGAAAAGACTCAAATATGTCATTAACTTCTAGTAAAAACTCATTTATGCCATCAGTTAAAAGTTTGGCTCATTTATGTCACTACGGTTAAAGAAAAAACATATTCATGTCATTATTTTTTAACAGTGATTTTGCATTACCATTTTTGACACGTGGCCAATCATAATTCGACCACGTTATCAATTTTTTTTTAAAAAAAATAATTTAATTTTTATTCAGAATTTTGATTTTTTATTAAAAAATTTAATGATGTGGCCAATCATAATTCGGCCACATCATCAATTTTTTTAATTAAAAAATCAAAAAAGAAATTCAATTTTTGTTCAGAATTATGATTTTTTTAATTTAAAAAATTGATGACGTGACTGAATTACAATTAGCCACGTGTCAAAAATGGTTTTGCAAAATCATTGTTAAAAGATAATGGCATGAATGAGCATTTTCTTGAACGGTAATTGCATAGATAAACCAAACTTTCAACGAATGTCATAAATGAGCATTTTTTAAAAATTCGATAACATATTTGAGCCTTTTCCCTTTTAATTGTATATAATAGCAAACTAATAACCTAAAATAAATAAAGTAGCTAGGATTTGATTTAATTGTGCTCCATAGCAAACGTTAGCCAAAGTTTGTCAGACGCCTCTCTCCTAAAATCTCGCTCGCCACTCTCCCTCTGCTCGCCTCTCTCGCTTTATACACAGAAGTGTACAAATTATGTTTCTGTTTTGTATAAAGCGAGAGAAAATTGTATATATACATGCAAAAACATATATATTAGTGTTATACACTTAATTATACAATTTACGAACATTTTACTTCAATTCAATTGTAGACAAATGCAAATTTTATACAAATATTGCAGAGAAAAAGGCCAACGAATTATACAATTGCGAATTATACAATTGCAGTGAAATACAATTTTCTCTAGCTTTATACAACAGAATTGTATATATTGTGTTTCTGTTTTTGTATATCTTCTTGCTACACACTTGTGATTATGCAATATACATACAGTTTAATTCGATTCAATTGTAGGCAAAACAAATTTTATAAAAATATTACAGTGAAATAGGCAACGAATTAAATAGGATAGCGAATTATATAATTGTAGCGAAATAGGCCAGCGAATTATACAATTGTATATGTATAGCAAATTATACAGCTTTATGTTTGCTATGGAGCGCAATTATGCAAATTTTACTATAGCATACAAATATAAATTTTTTATTTGCTATATGCGAAAGTTGCTCTTTACTAAATAAGTATTCGAAAGAAAGGGCCTAATGATGAAAAAACTCTCTTTGGTCACTTGGGTCCTTCCAATTTGTACTAAAAGAAATATGGGCTTAGACCAATCTATCTCCAAGGCCCATTTTAAACTCGAGTTTTGTAATCCCAATACAATCAACATGGGCCATAATAAACTTTTCTTATTATTTTTGTTTAACAAAAAAAACTAAGCCCTATCAAAAACCCTAGCCTCACTCATTGGTGGCTGAATATATAAGCCTTATCTGAAGCTATCTCTTTTTTTCTCCATTGTAGAAGAGAGTTTGTGAGGGAGAGAGACCGAGAGAGGAAACAAAAATGGTGTCACTGAAACTTCAGAAGCGGCTCGCCGCCAGTGTTCTAAAGTGTGGGAGGGGAAAAGTATGGCTTGACCCTAACGAAGGCAATGAAATCTCCATGGCTAACTCAAGTATGATCACTTACGAACTCTTGTTTATTTTAAGATCTGTTCATGATTTTGTTTGTTTTAGTTTATTTTAAATGTACCCTTTATGTTTTCTTTGATTTTTTTTACTTTTTTGTTTTTGTTCTTTTTTCACTTTTTGGGATTTGATGTTAATCGAGTGTAGTTCTTGTGATTGAAATATTTATATGTTTTACATGATCAAGATTACTAGTATTTGTTGCTTGTATTTTTATGTATACTGGTTTTAAAAGTTATAGCAAATAAAAAAAAGGATTCATAGAGGCAATCTGAGCTAGTTGAGGCCAAATTAGCTACCCGTCTGCTGATAGATTTAGAGTATCATTAATTATCTTAATGACAGATTGTTTAGTTGTGAAATGTAATGGACCTGAATGTAGAGTATTATGTAGGTGATGTCAGTTGATATGTGTTTGAGCATAATTGGAAGATTGATTGTTAATTTAGAGTTTTGGTTATGTAAGTGCTGTAAAGGGTAAAGTTGCAAAGGAGTGGGAGTTTCATTTTCTTATTTGCTTCTTTTTTGGTGGTAATGGGCGAAAAGTAATGGTCTCAACACGAGGATAAACTTGAACATATAGCTTGAGCTCAGCTGTTGTTTGAGCCTTTTTAACATTCGGATTGCTCAGACTTGAGAAGGCTCTAGCAAATGGATGCATTTTTGCTTGCTTTTTAGGTTTTGTCTCTACACATATTGGTTGCTTTTAATGCTCCTTGTTTGTGTTGAGTGCAGGGCAAAACATCAGAAAGTTGGTGAAGGATGGTTTCATCATCAGGAAACCAACCAAAATTCACTCACGATCTCGTGCACGCAGGATGAAGGAAGCCAAAAGAAAGGGCCGTCACTCTGGATATGGTACCTCTTAATAGTGTGACATTAGTTACTTGATTAAGTAATAGTAATGTCTGTTTTATGGTAGAAATGCTTCTTTGAATAAATGTAATGCATCCTAATGTGTGTAGTTTACTCTATTAGTTTGTGTTTTCATGATACTTCAAACTGAATCAATGAAAAATAACTTTTGGAATGTAAGTGCAGCTTGAAAAATGGCAGAGATTTGCTTTTGGATGCATTCATGAAACATAAAAAGTAATTTTCTTTTGGATGCCCTTGATTCTCAGTATACAAGTCTTTTCTCAGGTAAGCGTAAGGGTACCAGGGAGGCTAGGTTGCCCACAAAGGTGCTGTGGATGAGGAGACTCAGAGTCCTCAGGCGTTTGCTTCGTAAGTACAGGGAGTCCAAGAAGATTGACAAGCACATGTACCATGATATGTACATGAAGGTGAAGGGTAATGTCTTCAAGAACAAGCGTGTTCTCATGGAGAACATTCACAAAACCAAGGCTGAGAAGGCTAGAGAGAAGACCTTGTCTGACCAATTTGAGGCCAGGAGGGCAAAGAACAAGGCAAGCAGGGAAAGAAAGTTCGCTAGGAGGGAGGAACGTTTGGCCCAGGTAATTAAGGTTCATCACCTGAGACTGTTTACTGACGAGCACCCTAACTAGTTGTCAGTAGCACATTTCAACTATTTACAATAACACCCAATAGAATTGAGGCATTTTTTTCCTTGTTCACAGGGACCAGGAGAGAAGCCAGTACAACCTGCAGCGCCAGCCCCGGCACCAGCAGCAACAGCACCCCCAGCCAAGACTGCTCAGTAAGTTATCACAAATTTGC